CAGTGTCTACTGCAGGGGTGGGCAAACTCCGGCCCTCCAGCTGTGGTGAAACTACAAATCCCATGATGCATCTGTCTCTGGAAGTCGTGGCTGTGAGAATCTTGCAATGCCTCAAGGGATTTGTAGTTCCACCACAGCTGGAGGGCCGGAGTTTGCCCACCCTTGGTCTCCTGGGACCCTGGTGGTTTTGACTCGTGAATGGTACAGAAAGGACATTAATGATAAATGATCTTCTCACTGCAGGACCAGGAATGAACTGGCAGAAACCCTGGAACTTTTAAAAGCACAAATAGACCCGGCTTTACTGAAGAAATCTGAGCCACAGGATAGTACATCTCAAGAATGTCCGAATCCAGAGGACGAGGAACTGAAAAAGGAGGAGGGCGGAGGTATGAGTGTGTTCCATGGTCTTTGTTATTGAACAGTGGAAGTAGCACAGTAGTCGTTCAGCACTTTACTTTTCATTTTATCACTAGAAGTTCAAATCTTAACTTAGAGACTCCCCAGACTATTCATTTCAGCAACAATCTTCCCCATAAGGTTATAGGTGTAGTTATTGTAGTTTATGGATGCTGTTTACCGGTAGAAAATACTCCCTTGTGTAGACATGCCAAAGCCCTGAGACTGCTGCAGGGTGCTGCCATCTTTGGATGTGATGATGGTGGTAGCAGACTCAGGGCTGTCACTCTATAGTCTATAGCAGGGGGTAGGCAAACTCAGCACTCCATTAATTCCTCAGCCTTCTCCTTAACATGATTTAGGGGTAGGATTTTTAACGGAGAACTATGAGATGAGTGATTTCCACTCACCTCATAGTTCTAGCCGACCTGTGACAATGAGACTGTCACAGGTCGGCTCAGTAGATCGGGAGGTGAGCGAACACATACCGGCGCTCGCTCACCTCTCGATCCTGTCACGGCTCTCTGCCCTGACAGGGGAGGGGCTGGATTCCCCCCTCCCCACTCTGCTCCTCCAGCGCTGACTGGCGGAACGGATGGGGGAGGGGGCGGGTGCAGCTGGCTCTGCCTCTAGATAGGCAGAGCCAGCTGTCACTCACGCAGCTGGGCGGATCCCGTCATCTAGGTCGGGATCCGCTCCGGCGTCTCAGTATACCGCGAGCTGTAGCTCGCGGTATACTGAGCTTAGGGTAACGGGAGGACGCTAGTTTGTGTCCTCCCGTTACCCTAAGGAGAACTATGGGGAAAA